GCTTATCAGCTCAAGGCGGGTGGGATCGCGAGCTCGTCATGCGGCGGCAGGGCTGCGCATCTGGATCATCTCAAGATCCGCGAGGAATGGCTGAGGAGAGAAGAGTTGCTTGATTGTCCATCCTCTGCAGCTAGCTGTGCCTGTTTCACGAGGGGAAATGCAGGTACGCCTTGGAGGGTCCAAGCAATAGGAGGATTGTGGTTTTTTATGTACAAAAGGCTTCGTCTACCGGCTTCTCCGGCTTCTACCGTCCCATCCCACCCGGCTTATTGGTATGCAAGTCCAACATTCAGATTAGGTAAATGTGCGCCTTCGTTTCTTTGATGATACAAGCAGCCGATGATCCCGAAGAACGTCGAAATGAGCGCACTGTCAAGCAGTTTGTGCCAACTAGAGTAGAGATCGCATCTACTTGGTCTCTTCGCGCAGCCAGCTGGTAAAGAGTCAGTACAAGTAAAAGAGTACAGTGCCATTGAGGCTCAAGGGGTACTAACGTGATCAGGTCGTTCCTGTCCTTGCCCTTCTTGAGGCCACCGAAGGCCATCTTTGTGCCGGGGATATATTTCTTGGGGTTCTCGAGGTATTCGAACTGGACAGAGGTCAGCATCGACTACAACTATATGATTCAACGTAATGAACTCACCAGAGTATCCTCCTTCCACGTAATACCCTTCTGCTTGTTCGCATCTGTGTATGAGAAGCCCTCGACGGAGCCAGTCTTGCGGCCGAATAGACCGTGCAAGTTAGGGCCGATCTTGTTGCCCTCTGATTCAACGACGGAGTGACATTGCGCGCATCTCGTCTTGAAGAGGTTGGCACCCTTCTTGACGTCACCTGGAAGAAGCGATTGTGAGCTTATATTCTTTGCCTCTTGTTGCTCAGTTTTCTTTGAAGTCTTGTTCGCAGCAGCTTCCTGTTCTTGCCGGTGTCGGGTCGCTTCAAGCTCGTCGAGCTCATGCGGGAGGTAAACCAAGTATGACCAAGCCATTGTATCGACAACCTCAGATTCTAGTATGGGGGACTGAGAACATGGTGGTTGTGTCGCGCTGTGATCGTTCGGTCATGGTATGATTGTTGGGACAGAGGCTTCCCAGCTCGAAGAAGAGCTGGAAAGCGGCGCCGAGCAGTCATGCGACTCGCAGTGAGGCTAGGATGTGATACAAGGGTGCGAAGTGTGACCGTTTGACAGGTAAAAGCGTTGCGTGAAGCTGCTGCGAAGCTGTAATGGCCGTGAAAGCACAGGATGCACTTACCCTCCTTGAAACCGTCGTCACCCTTGGCCATCTCGAGAACACCGAATAGTCTGAAGTAAAGAGAGAACTGATATGAGGACGGCTGAGGTAGCTCTAGGGAATAAGATAGCTTGGATGGTTGTTGTCAGAGCAAATAGTGAAGATGTTGTTCGGAGCAAAAAAGTCGAAGGGGAAGCAAGAAAAGAAAAAAGGTGACGCCGATGAACGACAGACGAGGACCCGAATCCACCACAATCCACTCGCCAGTCATTTTGCCCACTCTGCCACTCAAGCCATTCCACAGCGACCTATTGTGGCTGTTCCACTGGTTTTCTTCCGGACAGCCACCTGCGAATCACGATGCGGCTTTTGTCATCGGCAATTCTCGGGACTTCAACTCACTCAGCGCAGGCTGCGCAGGTAACAAGTCGGAAGACAACACCAGCTGCACCCTCGCTCAAGAATCCGTGCGTGAGCCAATTTATGTTTCTAAATTTCTCCCTTGGGCCTGCCTTCTTGATTCCAGATTCGAACACTGGATCAGTTGATCCAAGTGGTCTACATGGTGCCCACAAGCTCCCAACACAGAATGGCAGCCAAAGATGCCCTACAAGCTCCCAAGCTCTCCCCAACAAGGACCATGGTCCCTAAAATGAGATCAATGACGTCGGCGTCTGGCTCGGAAAAACGGCTGATGTACATTTAATATCTGCGGTAACTGCTCCGGTGGCTGGACTATCGCCACAATAGCTGCCCCGAACCGCGGCAGCCTACTACTTCTTGCGTTACATCCTATTACCCGATCGTGGTCATCCAACAGCAGCAGTTGGGAAAAACACTACCTGGGATTGGCCCCTGGTTGATAAAGTCTCAATTGGGTAAAGCCGAACATGCTCAAATTCTCCCGTCACTTCTGCAACGATGCCCAGAACTCGTCAAGGAGCTCGTGCCTCTTGACGGCGAGATCAAAGTCGCCGTAGGGTTCTCCTGCAGCATAGGCTTCATACAACCGACCAATGTTCTGACCTTGCGTTGGTAAGTCTGTCCATTCCTGCCCACCTTCGTCCACGATGATTTCCTCGACAACTCCTTTCTCCGCATTAGAGAAGAGTATATTGGTTGCCTTGGCAATCTGCGGTCCAGCACCGGCGAATTCCACGACTAGTTCGCCTTTGGTGCCATATATCCTCCACGTTGATCCTGGGTGATCGATGAATCTGTCTCCGGCTCTCAGATGGAAACTGAATACAGCAGACGGATGGCGGTCCAGGCGCCCTTGGATAAGGATTTGGTCGGGCGTGTCTTTGTCGTAGAGCTCTTCCGACAAGGATCCGTCGGATTTCATAACGTGCATTCTCGGCCGCAAATTGACCGCCATAGGGGTGTAACTCCCAGGTTTCAATTCTCCCACCGCATACAGGATGGAGTCGAGGATGTGGCCGCCATATATGGTCAACAAGTTGCCGCCGATTCTGCGATCCATGAAATATTGATATCTCTCGCTCGCTGCATTATTTTGCCACACGTGAATTGCCGCCTGGTAATTAACACTGTGGATTTCTCCTATGGCTCCTGTGTCGATGAGCTCCTTTACCTTCTTGACGCTGGGCGCCACACGACCCTGGAGGCCGACAATGGTCTTGATATTCTTCTCTCGAGCAACAGCTGCCATCTCCTTTGCCTGCTCTGTCGTTGCAGCGAGAGGCCATTCCACAAAGACATCACGGCCGGCTTTCAGAGCTGGCATGGCGACATCATAGTGAGTGTCAACTCGCGTCGACACCACGTATAAGTCAACCTCAGGGTCGGCGGCGAGCTGGTCGTACGAGTCGTAGGCTTTGGTGGACTCGGGAAGATTGTGTGCTTTGATGGCTGCTTGTGTGGATTCCAGGGTCGTGTTGCACAGTGCCACGATCTTGAAATTCGGAGAGCTGGCCAGTCGAGGTAGATGGGCCAGAGGTGCCCATGTGGTCGGTTTGCTTGACAAGCCCACGATTCCCACGCGAATGGGAGCCATTGCAACAATTAGTATAGGGCGTACCCACTCCACGGCAGGTGACAATGTGTAGAAGGACTCGCAGGTTTCGTCAAGCTTAGATATGTAGGGAAGCTGTGTACCTTGGATGGTGCAAGGTCTGCCAGTGTATTCGGAAGCAGACTTGCTCTCTATAAGTCGATAGACGTCGAGTGAGAGTGATATTGGTAATATAGAGTCTTGCAAGTGTTGCGCACTGGATGCCTAGACATCTATTCAGTGGCTGACAAATCGGCCTTTGTTTGTCTGACTGCGATTTTGTTGTTTGTCGTTGGCTTCCACATTGCGTGCTCAATCATTTCCCTCGGTCTGATTCCACCATAAACACATAGACAAGGACATGATCCTTACCGTATGTGAGAGACGCCTCCAGCCCTATACTCGGAGACAGGCGAGATTGCGTCAGAGCCAGGTGCACTTGGTACTGGCCCTGTCACTGGTGGTTGGAGCAGATCTTCCACTCACTCAACGCTCCAGGTCAGAGTCAACTTCCACGGGTAATGCAGCTTCTCGGTGGACTGCGTTCCTTCAAGCCATCCTAGTCCATCTGGTCCCTTTCATGTCCTGCAACTCAATTCCTGGTTCGTAGGATGCGTTCACGTCAAAGAGGAGGAATTGTTTGACTTTTCATCGCTTTGCTTTGCTTGGGGGGACGCCTACAGACGCCGTATGCGACGAATCATGGTCTCTATGGCACGGTAGCATAGAAAAGACAAGCAGGAATGTGGAGACTTTCCCACGATCACCAACTCTTACCTTTTCCCTACTTGTACGAGTCGCGACAGTGTCAGCCGAGTCCTTATCCCTAACGAAAGGATTCAACAGCCATGTCAGCTTCGAAGGATTCGATACGAATCTCCCCTATCAGATCGAGAGGGCTTGTATAACCTTGTCGACTCGTTGCCCTTTCTGGCATGGATGCATGGCACACGTGGTGGTCTTTACTACCACGGGAGGCCTTTTCTTTTAAGGCCACCTTCAGCTTCATTCAAGCCGACCTCCATCGCTTTCTTCTCTATGAGTTGGTTTGACGAGTTCCCTCTACGCCATGCCGAGCTCTCAGTACACAGCATCGATCGCAGCTGCGCTTTTTCTCTCCTTCGTGGTCTGGCTCGTCTCCTTCCCCCTGAAATGGCGCCGACATCGTGCCAAGTATCGACATCTACAATGCCCACCTCACGACATTTGGTGGGGTCATTTGAAGATCATCGGCATGGCGAAAAGGGAGATGCCACCTGGATGTAAGTCCTCCGTTGAAGTCGCCATCTTCGAATGAGCCTTGTCGAGTTTCCTGTTTGGACGATCTGGTTTTGAGTGGCGCGCGGCTCGGCGAACAAGGACATTGACCATGCTAAGTCTATTATCATGCATTGATGTACTATATCGGTGAAAAGTACAAGATGCCACCGGTATTCTACCTGGACTTGTGGCCGATCAGCAACTCGTTGATGCTTGTCCATGACCCTGATGTGGCCCACCAAATCACCCAAGCCAGGAGCCTTCCCAAGCATCCCGTCAATTCCAAGGTGTTGGGACCTTTGGTTGGCTCACATTTAGTCGTGACTGCGGAAGGGCAAGAATGGAAAATGCTTCGGTCAATCCTCATTCCAGGCTTCTCAGCCTAGTATCTTTCGACATTGGTCCCTCTTCTCGTCCGACATGGCCTCGTCTTCAAAGATCGAATATCCGACTATGCGTCGACCGGCGAAGTATTCCCAATCCAGGACACGGCCATGGCCCTGACAATCGACGTGATCGGCGAGGTGATGCTGGGGAAAGAATTTCGACTCTCAGCGCCAACCGAACGAGTTGACAATGCACTTCAAAAAAGCGGTCTCCTGGGCAGGACCGAGCGTGCACGTCATTTCTTGGAATCTAAGCAGGCCTTGCAAATGGTGGCATTGCGTGCAACAGGACCGAATCATTGAGAAGATGATCTGCGAAAGACACGCCGAGACGAGGGCCACGGATTCTCCCGGTACAAAAGCTGCTGTAGATCTGTTCCTGCAGGCATATCGCGAGGAAAAGATGGGTGCATCGGGCAAGGGTGGACGCAGGACAGACGAGCTTGATCCGGAATTCCTGAACCTCGCACGCGACAATGTCAAGACCCTGCTTCTAGGGGGCCACGACAGTAAGAGTTGCCTTGCCCTCTTTCTTGCCGTCGGCGTGGCTGGTGGTCGGTTCAACTTGGCTAACCAAGATATCTAGCAACTTCATCCAATATGGCCTACATTCTGGCCCTCCTCTCGGAACCCGAGAACACCCACGAACTTGGTCGCATCCGCGCTGGACACGACGTCGTGTTCGGCCCGGACCCTACCGAAGCTGCGTCCATGCTCCTCTCCGATCCCCGACTACTTAACAACCTCCCACTCACGACCGCCGCGGTCAAGGAATCCATGCACCTCTTTCCCGCAGCGAGCACCACGCGCACAACCATGCCCATCCATCCCGTCCAGACAGTGTCGTTTAGAGGCCAACAGCTCCCATTCGCAGGCCAACAAATCTGGGTTGCGCACTACAGCTTCGGCCAACGTGGCGACCTGTGGCCCGAACCCCGGAAATTCGTCATCGACATCACCACCACCTCCACCCCCAAAGGACGCATGGCGCCCGTTCGAAAAGGGCTCGCGCGGCTGTCTGTCTCGGCCTGGAGCTGGCCATAATGGAGCTCAGGCTGATCCTAGTCCTACTATGCCGCGAATTCGACTTTGAAAATTACCTACGCGGAAGACGCGCCGCAGGCTCTCCGAGAGCACGGCGTTCAGGGCGGGAGGGGCTATCAGATCATCGAGTTCGCCGCGAAGCCCGTGGGGCGTATGCCTGTGCGAGTTCGGCGAAGGAAGAAGATTCAGTGACTTTGTGTTTTGTGTTTTTGGGGGGCTGGGGAGACATAAGGGAAGGTTACTCCTCTATGAGATACAGAAGTTTGCCGAGTGTAAGCCAGAGCCGAACGGATCAGATATGATTGCACGAAGCTGGTAGCACGCAGCCTCTCAGGAGCGTATTCAAAGATGTGCTAGCATCACATAGTAAGCCCCCCGAGCTTGCCAACTTAGTGCCCCCTATCGAAACGAGGACGGTGTGGAGAAAAACGAACGCACCTACTACACACAAGTGAGGTGACACAAGGCAGTATGAAAGGGAAAAATCGGAAGGTTGGTTTTTGAGCACCTTTTCGAGCCCCTTTTCATCGTCTGTCTATCTAGACAACTTTGTCCGTCTCGCTCGCTCGTAAACCTGAAACCTCCTTTTGGTTCCCTCTTCTCTTCTCTCAATTGCTTTTCTGTCCGTTTATATCACAGATGGTCTGTCTCCTCAGGTCTTGATGCCCGATTTTTCACAAAAGAAAATCTCATGCAGAGTGTCATCACGCATACATCCATGTATTTCTCACTCTTGCTCGTAGCCTTACTGTGTAGAGTCACTGGGCTAGGCTGTCTCTCGCACATTGTCTGTAGCACTTGTCGCAAGAAGGTCGTTCATAGTTGAGCTTTCGCCTTGCTTGCGGTAGCAGAAGCGGCTAGTCAATGCGCCCCGTTGTATTGCTTGGCCGTGTCGTCAATCTCGCAAAAGGCCCTGAACGTGACCATCTCGTCGGTCGCGCTTTCGATAACTAGTTCAGCAGTCGCGCCCACAAAGTACACCCAGCCTTCCTTGAAGTCCTCCGTCTTGGGGCCGACGCTGATCTTGCCCTCGCCGCTCGTGCAGATGACGATGCTGGGGCCAGCGATCCCTTCGAAAGTGGCCTTGGCGCCAGGTTTTTTGAGCGCCGTGCGCACGACGCTGAATTCCTCGATCGGGGGATCGTACAGTAACGAGTCGCTGCCAGAGCTGTAGGCTTTGTCGTTGAGCGTGACGTACGGGTAGTCGACGGGTTGGAGGAGCTGTTGCTCGGGTGGATCGTGGTCGTAGGTCAAGATGTCGGTCAAAGTGTTGACGTCTTGGAATTTGGGCGTGAAGCCAGCGCGGATCACATTGTCGCTGCTCGCCATGCACTCGATGATGTCGCCCGAGATATAGGCGTGGATGTCGTCTGCCTTGAGGTACATGGCCTGTCCGGGTTGGAGTTTGACGTAGTTGAGGAAGAATAGCACGAAGAGGCCGATGTCCTCTGGGAACTGGCTGTTGCAACGCTGCACTAGTTCGCAGAGCTCTTCAGAGGTGTTGACACTAGGACCGGGAGATATTGATCCATTCTTAGCGAGCTCCAGAAGGGCGTGGGACTTTTCGGCAACTTCGGCCTTGGAAGACTTCATGAGCGAGCTGAAGGCGGCTTTGAGGCGGGATTTAGCATCGTCGACAGACGGCGAGGAAGAATTCGCAACCTCTTCAAGCCCTTTGGCCTCACTCTCGCCGACCAGTTCGCGCAGGGGTGGAATGCTTGCGAGGAAGTGTGCAATTTCCTTGAGAGGTCGGAAACCACAAAGACCTTCAAATGGGGTGATGGCAAGTGTCATTTCAGGCTTATGGTTGTCATCGGGATAGTTCTTTGGGTCTTTGGCGTGAAGCTTCTCGGCGAGCTTCTTATTGGGATGGGCTTGAATGGACAATGCCTTGTTGATAGACAGGACCTTGAAGAGAAACGGAAGTTTCTTGTTGTACTTCTCGGTAATGTCACTGCCCATCAGTGCTTGGTTGTCGGCGACAAGGTCGAGGAGAGATCTACCAGTGACGAGGTCTTTGGAGGGCAGAGAAGGGTGTGTGCCCATCCATAGTTCGGCATATGGCTTGTCTTCTTGGACGGAGAAGTTGTCTGAGGGCGTCGCCGCAGCATATCTCGCAGCAGCCGAGTCTTTTCCCTTCTTCCCCCAGTCATAGCTATTGCAGCCTTGAAGAGGTCAATATATCGGCGATCACAGAGAGAGGTATTTGCTCATACCGCATTGTAGCCGAATCAAAGGAACCTGCATGATGACTGGTCTCAACCCAATCTAGATCTTTTGATTGCTGAAACTTGATGACGTCCTCTAAACGGGACAAAGTCAGGAGGAAGTGTCTGTATGACTTGGAGGCTCTGGACTTTAAGGGGGCAACAGTGGGTGAAAGCAATATGGCGGTGAAAGAAGACAAAAGTGGCTTGAGAACAGATCCACTCGATATTGAAGATGGTTTTCGACTTTCAGGGCAACGTGGTTGGTCAGTCTGATAGAATTGGCCAGACTTTTGACGATTGTGGATGTTTGAGAAATGACGCATCCCGCCACAGGTGCTCTGCCGTATAAAATGCGCTTTTGGAAATCAATACGCAGCCGTGGTCATCCTTCCCGCTAGAGGAGCCCGCCGTGGCGCCAACCAATCATGCCTCCGTCCCTCATTCTACACGTTCTTGACCATCGCATCCTATATATTGCGAATCGCACATTTGTCTGATCTCTTCATCTCTATATTGCAAACATAATCTACAGTCTGTATTTTAGTACCACCTACCAAGAGGCAGCCTTTGTGGTTCGTCGGCAAACAAGTTTGCGCCTGCCACCAAGTTAGTTCTACAGAGGGGCTAAGGGCTGGTCATCTTGTTCAAGCACAGTGACACAGCCTTCTCTCCTTCAGGGATCGGAGATTTCCTTCATCTACGCTGTTACAAGGTCATCTGACGCCGCGATCTGGGGCGCACAACGTGTTTGAGTTCGATATGTCCTCCCGTCCGCGAGGAGGTCGCGCGACAGCTGGTCGAGATGGAAAGGAGAGCGAACTCGAAAACGATCTACTCACTAGAGCCCTTGAGAGCCTACGCAAAGCCAGAGAGTTCAACGAAAAATGCAAAAGAATTGGGCAAGATATTATGGCCCTCGAGGAAGAGATCAAGGCAGCCGGACGTATGTCGACCCTGTCCCCCTTTCAGGTTTGCTCCTTTCTTTTCTCATTAGGTCCCAAGTCTGGCATCGCTTAAGATCACGACAACGCGAAGGCCGGTCTGTGGCTCTAGACTTGGAACCTAGGGGTGTCTTCAGAACCTGTCGTCAAATCCTTGGTTGAGGTTTGAGCTGACCGTGATCGTTTAGATGGAACTCCCGACCAGTACCGACGTCTAGACGCCCTGTACCGGGACAACCTCAGATATGCGGAAAGCGAGAAGAAAGTTCACGATGACGACGACATTATCAGCAACCTTGCTATCTTAGAGACGATGAGATCCAACGACGAACCGGCCCCTAGAAATGGTCAGCCAAAGTCGCGGAAGCATCAGCGGCCTGCGGTTGATTCAGAAGCGCTTGAGTCTCCAGGCCCCAGTCCAGGGGACGGTCGTTTAGAGATGATGAAACGAGTCAAGGGCACCTCGCAACGGAGTTCAAGCACAGCAAGCCAGAATCGAGCAGCCCCAATTGTTAGAGACGACGGGAGCGACCTGTACAAGGGACTACAGGCTGAGAGGGCTGGCCACCTTGTAGCTGGCACCGAAGTCTTTTACAAATTCCCAAAGGATCAACAAGAGCAAGAAGAAGGAGTGGGTATTCATGGTATCATCAACAAAGTCTGGCAGGAGAAGAAACCGTGAGTGGAAGCACTGCCCTCCCCAAAACTTGTCGCTGACTTTCCACAGGATACAATACGATGTTAGAGACCCCGAGGATGACGCTTCTGGCAAACAGACGGTGCGCAAGGCGACAGCCAGAGATCTGGTGCCCATTCCTCAGGTTGCCCCGAGCACTCAACAGTTCTCGGTCGGAGTGACTGTTTACGCCAAATACCCAGATACCGATACCTTCTACCGAGCCAAGGTCAAGAGCTTCCAGAAACCCAACTACAGTTTGAAATTTGACGAGGATGTACAAGAGATGCTCGTCGATGCACGGTTTGTCCTACCGGCCGGGGTAAAGTAGTACAACCAAGAGATCACACCCAGGAACACGTTTAATCTGGGTGAGGCCGTGGAGGATGAACCAGATGAGAATTGGGGGCGGACACGTCGTGAGCGGCAAAATGTTTCTCGATTGATGAGTGCCATGTATAATTGATCATCCATACTACGGTCACAGTTGGTGTTTGCTGGCCAGGTAGGCAGCGCCACTGTCTGCGCGTCGTCAGTAATCCATAGCTGGATCCCGGAGACAGAATCTTGAAGCAACTTCAGCTGCACCACTGATACAGGCATCCAGCCTGGGAACTTACCCGCCCATATCTCGTAGACTTTGACCTTGTATTCCTGATCGAACTCCAGGACGTAGGTGAAGATCTCGTCCCACGATTGACCAGTCTCGGTCCACGTGAACTTTGCTTCTCCACGAACCGACACCTTTGAGACGAGTGGATCGACCACGAAGTTAGTGAAGCGCATGTTTTCGTACGTCAAGGTGGAAGACAGAAGCCCAAAGTACTCTTGCAGGCCCTCGTGGCCTCGAAACTCGCGGCCGAGGAAGGGCGCCAGTTGCGGCAGGCCATGCTCTAGGGCAAGGACATCGTCGGAACTGGAGAAGTGGCTGAAGATCTTGTCTGGCGCCTCTTTGCTGGCGAATGAGTTGCAAAACGCCTGGGCGGCAGACAGGAGGGTATCTCGATCTGGGGCAGGGGAGGGCATCCTTTTCTCGACCGATAATTATGTTAGAGAGGCGCTGTGCTTAACCAAAGACCTTGGGGGACTTGTGGACCAGGTGATGTAGGTATGGGTTGGTGCTTACCCAATCTCATTCGGCGACTGACCAAGCAGCAAAGCTGGAATTGACGGCGAAGGACGGGGCTCAACAAGGCGTGACGGGAATTGACAGGCGCACAGTGTGGAAAATGAAGTGCGGAGGAGAGGCCGAGGCCTGGGATTTGGCTTTCGTCAGCGAATTTCTCGTTTCTCTCCGCTTCTACTCGAACTGCGTTAAGTGCCACCCTCCTCCCTCATCTTCCGCCCAAGCATAAACTCAACTCAACTCTTTCAATGGTCCTTTCCTCCGCTCCCCAGTTATAGAGACACCATGCTTCTCTCTTAAGTTATAGAGAAACGAAAGATTGCATTGGATATTGAGGCCGGAAGACGTTGCCCCCCTCTTCCCCCACCATGGCTCGCCCGGTCAATGAGCTTCCCTCGCATGCGTCCCCCGTTATATCGCCCGTGCCTCGGCCTTCGTCCTCATACTTGGGCGGCTGGTCCGACCTCGACGAAAATGCTCCTCCTACGCCTGGCCTACCTAACAACTTGATATCCCCTGCATTCACTCCTCCCGCTACTCCCGGGGCTGGGACCCCATCCCGCCATCTTCAGTCTGAGCCCAGGTCCATTCCCGTTGATACTTCTCTCGACGACCCTTCGGCAAAACAACCCCGCCTCCTCGAGAGACTACCAAACGTAGAATGCCTGGTTCGAGCGCGGATACCGACCACCTCTGGAGCCGAGATGTTCCTCCATCTGTATCAAAATGACTCAGATAACAAGGAGCACTTGGCGATTGTCTTTGGCAACAACATCCGCAGTCGCAGCTTGGATGCTGAGAAGCCCGGAGAAACGGAGATGGATCGCATGATTCGTGGCGCTTATGTTGGAAGATTGAGGCCAGGTCGAACAAGTTCGAGAATAGATCCCACGGAACAGGGCAAGAGGCCCTTCAATAAACGGCACAGAAGTGGCTCCGCGTTGAAAAATGTGATAACGGTCCCAGAGGACGGCGTTCTCGAAATGGCACCCTCAGACGGTGCTGTTAAGGCCTCGAATACTTCTCAGGAAGAACAAAACTCAGAAAACCCCCATCATCCTATCGACAGCCTGGGTGATGTCCTTGACAAGGTACAAGTGACTAGCCAATCTCCCGGCAAACCACCTCTTGTTCGAATCCATTCGGAATGCTACACAGGCGAGACAGCCTGGTCCGCCCGGTGCGACTGTGGAGAACAACTCGACGAGGCAGCCCGGTTGATGTCCTTGCCTGGCTCTACGGGTGGTGTCATCGTCTACCTTCGGCAAGAGGGTCGAGGAATTGGTCTCGCATCAAAATTAAAAGCGTATAACCTGCAGGATTTGGGTAATGATACTGTTGAAGCAAATTTGTTGCTAAGGCATCCGGCCGATGCGAGGACTTATGGGCTCGCCACGGCGATACTGCAAGATCTCGGACTTGGCACCGATAGCGATGCGCAGAAACCAGAAGCAGAGAGGGGCATCAGGCTTCTCACCAACAATCCCGATAAAGTACGAGCAGTTGAAGGGCCCGGAAAGGAGGTCCGAGTGAGAGAACGGGTACCCATGATCCCTCTTGCGTGGAGAACGGCTGGCGCCAAGGGTGTCCGAGGTGCGGAAATTGAGAAATATCTTGAGACCAAAATCGGAAGAATGGGACATATGATTCATGAGGAGTCCTAGAAGAACAGGGGGGAAAGTGGATTGCGATTCAGACCCTGGAGAAAATTTCCTCTTGCAGGCAAGGTCACCCGGGTGCCGGATTTGACTCTGGCAATTTCTGAGGCCATAAGGGACTGACAGCAACATCATCACTCATGTGGTCGACTCCGCTCCTTTGATACGAGGATGGGACCGGAACACGCCCAGACAAGAACCGAAGTAAGATGCTTCGCAGAGCGACGCCGGCTGGAATATCCAGGCACTCTCAGTTAGAAGAAGGTTTACCAGGAGAAGCCAATCCATGCCGACACAATTCGCACAAGGAGCATCCAGGAATCGCGACGCGCCCGTGTTATCCTTGCCCTTGAGGCTGTCGATGCTTTGACTTTCGGAAGCAGCGGCTTAGAAGGACCAGACCAACGACAAAGATGTGTCAACCTCATCAACCCGCGGAGAATCAATGCCGCAAAGCATTCTCCTGGCGGGCAATGAGGAGAAGTGGCAAACGAGGAAGACTGGTTCGCGGCTTTAGAACCGAGTTGGATTGAGTTAGATGAGGTGCAAGCGATGGAATGCCTGGATTGCCATACTATACGAGATGAGACGAGACGGTCGAGGCACGTCATGAAGCCTCCATTATCATGGACTCTGTCAAGGCTAGGACTTCGACTTGGACTGGCAAAGGGAAGCGACGGTGCATATGCACGACTCAGTGACATGTTAGTGCTCACCAACGAAACTTGCAGATTCAAAGACTTTTGCAAAGAGCACGTATATATAATATATACACATATACTTATATCTAGCGCGAAAAGGGGGGTATCATGCAAGGACCAGGGCAAGAGATGGACATATACATTTATCCACACACAAAATACACCAAAGATGTATATAATATAATATACAGTACAGCACTACAGTAGTATCTCCCCTGATCACACTTTGGATACATCATGATGATGTATTTTGTATGTTTTTTTCACGATTGACAACCTCCTCACCAGCGACAAGGGATGGAGTACATATATAAGTTTTTCAGGTTCCTAGATAGATGTACCTACGCAGGCAGGTAGATATGTATGTAGGTCCAGACCGAACTCGTCCTTGTGTAACTTGTGATTTTTTTTTACATGGAATCCTTGTATCCTTCTACTCGGATTTTGGAACTTAGTGTAGAAAAGTAGAGAGAAACATCATCACCAAATACCCAACCACAGTTTCCTCTTCCGCTGCTGTTGCGGCTGCTGCGGCTGCGTTTGCTGGGTAGTGTCGTCCTGGATCTCCTGGCTTTGGGTGCGGAGCACGTCTTGCACACTCACGCCTCTGGCTCTCGCTTCGGCCTCGGCCTTGACCACGGCATCCACGCCCTTTTCCTTGATCAGCCTGACGCGGTCTGCCTGCTCCGTCTCCAGCTTGCGGGTGAATTCGTCGACGTCGTCCTCTGCCGATACAGCGCCAGCTCCGAGCACGCCTCCAGAACTACTCGCCACGTCGCCGCCGAGGGCAATGACATCGGCGCCCGTGAGGACCATGTCGCGGCCGCCCTTCTCGCGCTCCTTGGGCGTCAGGCCGTCGTCCCAGGGCACCAGTCCCCGCACGTCAATGCCCTGGTCCTCGTCGGCGTTGAGGTCCTCGAGGCCGTGGGCGCGGCGGTACAGCCTGCGTTTCTGGGCGTCGAGGATCTTTTGCTGGCGGGACTCGTTCGTCTTGGCCGTCTCGTAGTCGATGTGCAGGCGCAGGACCGACAGCGTCTCCCGCACGTAGGTGATGGGGTGGAGGGGCAACGAGGAGATCGGCGGGATCAGGTGTGCGTAGGGCGACGTCCGCATGAACGACTGCGTAAAGGTGATGCAGGCGAGGATGGTGAGGGTGCCCTAAATTCGAGTCAACGTAAGAACAATAAAGGCAATCATCATCCCCCCCCCTCCCCCCAAACTATCCCTCTCCTTGCTTTCGAGCGAGACAAGAGGGGAAAAAAACTCACCATCGTGATCCACAGATGAATCCACCGATCCGTCAAGAACCAGTGCATAAAGGAGCCTTTGTTGGGGAACATGTGCGGGTACGACCTGCTCTTCTGCCTCTCCTTCTCCTCCGTGGTCGCGCCCTGGTTGTACGCCGCGGGCGACCGACGCGGACGACCCAGCCGCGCGGGATGCGAGGGCGGCCGGAACTTGTCGGGCTGCTCGAGCACGATGGGTTTTCTGCCGCTGCTGGCGCCATCTGTTGTCGACGATGAGGCGGCTCGGCGCGCAGTGAGAGGAGAAGGAGGAGTACGAGGCGGCTGGAGTCGAGTAGTTCTGAGGGAGAGCTGGTCGCGCAGGGCGTTGCGGAGGCACTGCCGGCACATTGTGAGAGACATCGTCTTCGACAGAGGATTCATCCTCTGAACGGGATTCATCGTGACGGAGACAAGCTTTGGGACAAATATAGAGCTTCGGGTCGAGCGTGCCAGGAGAACAATGGCAGTGACCAGCTAAGCTACCAAGGCTACCTTGGGTGAAGGTGATCACAACGCGAAACTCGGTGGGATGAGCGGACAGCTTTTTGCTGGATAAAGGT